GGCTGGGAAGTGGAAACCCGCGGAGGCCCGGAAAATAAGTGTTTTTAAAACAAACAAACAAACAAACAAACAAAAACCCGCAGGGATTCGGCAGTCTTCGGCTTCGTGGGGGGCGGCGACAAGCGTGGGGCCCCCGCGAGTTCTGTGGAAGGGGGCACACGCGGATGGGAAGGTGAAGGCGGCGGGCTGGCGGCCCACGCTGGCTCCCGTTAGGAAAGGCCTGGCCGTAGGCAAAGGTCAGAGGAGGCACTGTTAACTGTGGAACAACTGCGTGGCAACGTGCCGGAGGTCCAGAAAAACACGTTTCTTGGGCCGCGCTGATGAAAGCGTTTTCATCCACCGTCCATGTAGACAAGGGCGCTCACGACAGAGCGTTGGGGTACGGATGCCTGGTGCTGGGCAACTTGAGGAGAAGTGTCCCCGTCTCTAGAGGAGCTGTTGCGCATCTCGCGTGAAGCGGGGCTGTTCCCAGCGTGTCCTCGCCTCGGCGCGCGCGGCCAGCGGGGCATCGTCCTCCCGAGGTTACAGAATGGAGGGCCTTGGGGGGCTTCAGGAACCAAATTAGAATTGTTTGTGCCCAGTGTCCTGGAAATTAAAACAGGATTGATGCAGCACCGGTCCTCTTCAAGGAAAAAAGGGTTCAATATCGGTCACTGTAGATATTCTTAAGGGAAATAGACTTTTTCCATGGGAAGCATCCTGTCAAAGCTCCAGAAATTTACGTCATTTTAGCAATAAGTTGCTACAACATATTAAGTGAATTGACGGCATTCTTTAGTGTAAAATTGTGTTTTGCCACCATAAATACCTGGTATTTGGTATTAGAACTCCCCGAGCCTTGGCAGTGTAACAATCGCTGTCATAACTGGAAAATAAAAAGAGACAACTCATCTTCATGCTTTGAATACCAAGAGCTGAATCATAGTAAATCGATGCCGTTGAAACATTAAGAATAAATTCACTTTCGGCATGTATTTATAGCGTCTGCTCATGACTAGGCTTTCTGTGAAGTGCTGTTTCAGAGTTCTTCCTGCTGCTACCGCCAGGATGCGGTCCTTCCTGCTGGCAGCCTCTTCTCGGGATGCTTCAAGGTCCCCGACCAAGCGCCGGTAGCTCTCTGCAGAAGGAGTCGGGTACTTGACATTCGGCTGCTCCACATACATATTCGCCTGCCCCTTCATACAGCGGTGGAAGTTGTTTGTTTTGTGCCAGGAGCTCGGATTAACTGGGTGGCGTGTAGACCTCATTTCTCCTTCATCCTCTAAAGTTCTCAAGCTGCTAATGAGACTTTAAATATTAAAAAAAAACAACAAAACCGCTCGCCGTGGTAGCTCTCGGAATCTTGTTTAAGGCAGGTTCATTGATCGGCTCATCACTAGCAGAGACGCGAGGTGCCACCTCACCAAGCTGCAAACCCCAGTTCTAGCGGCTTCCCAATAGTGACAACTCTCCCACCTTCCCAGCATCACACCGGAGCCTCTGAAGTCGCAGTGCGGGTGCTTCCCGTGAGGGATACAGTGCAAAGCTGCAGTCCTCAAATTGCCAGCTAGGAAAAGAGGGCGCTGATACTCACTGTCTTTAGAGGTAATCTTTCTCCCACCTGCCTTCGGAACCGGCGATTGCAAGCTCATCTTTTTATGCATGACGGGAATGCGAAGAAAAAACCACAGGTGATGGTTTATAATATGCCCTGCAAGAGCGTTTCAATTTTTCTGATCTAAATAGAACTGTGTGTCAAGAGAAAACACAGCACCATAAATACTGCATAGCACCGTGTCCTGGTGTATTCTAGTGCTAACAGTGACCTAATATACGTCTTCATGAACACGGCGTGTTTCTTTGGCACCTTTTGCTCGGTGCCTTACTGAACCTCTCTACTTGTGACTTGCTTTTATTTGAGCTTGGGGGTGCCAACACGTGAAGCTGCACCACCACAGCAGGCAGGATTATTCTTTTAGGGCCTATCTAGAGCCGATGGGAACGTCTACAGTAACTGACTTTCAGATTGAAAGCCTGGGATAGGAAATGCTCCCACAGTAAACTTGTTTGTCCCTCGGTCGTGTCCTTCCCACACCATTCCGACTGGAAGTCCCGCCCCGTGCTGTTTGCCTAAGTGCGTATAACACACGACCTCGCAGCTCAGCGCTCAGAAGTGCTCCATGTTGCACCCTCACCACAGCTCAGATGGAGTCGAGTATCAACAGGAGAGGAGCGCGTTAGTAATCACCCAACTATGTGTTATGTACGCGTTGCAGAGCGCAGGTACGCAGGCTAGGGCGTCCTGCGTGCGGGCGAAGTACAAACAGCGTTAGTCACGCCCGAAACAGCCCTTGCGTAACTCGGCCAGAGCCCTTCGGCGTGATCAGGGCTGTGGTTCACTGCTCTGCAGTGACTCCCGAGCCTCTTCCCGTGTGGCTGGTTCCCTGGCACCTCACCTTCCTATCGTTAACGTTTTCCCAGTTGCTTTATTATTCCCTAAGGCCGCTATGAGGGCTGTGATCGATACCTCTTCCCACTTCTCCCGGGTTTTCCCCTTGAGGGGTCTGTCTGATGAGTAATGCCCATCCTCAAGCGTAGCTCTCATTCCCCAGGAGCTCCGTTTCCACAGCACACTGCAGCCACACGTGGATCTTGCAGCTCCGTGACTCATCTCTTTCTGGATCCTCTGCATCCAAGAAGCGGCATGCTGGGGGATGATAGTAAATCTCCCAGTGAAAGCAAGATTTTATGGTTGTGCTTATTCATCTTTCTCCAGCGCAGAGCTCTATTATGTAAATGCCAACAGCAGCGGTGGCACTGAGTAGCGAGCAAGAACGTACTAACTGGCGTGGTAATCTTTGCTAATGAACGACAGAGGTATTCAGAAGCAGAGATGCTTTAAGGAAGAAGCTGGATTGTAGCAGTTTCCCTCCATACTGCTCTTTAAAAAAAAAAAAAGCCTTTAAAGGATTTTAGGAGTAGAAACCTTTAGATAAATGCACGCTCACACACCGTCCCGCGGAGTGGAACCGATCCCATTCTGCCGTGGCCAAACTTGTCAGACCTTGCAGGGTTGCCTGCCTCTCCCCCACGCCTCCTGGCACGGCAGGGTGCAGATTATCAGAAACCTGCCCGATCCGTAGGAGGCCTGAGAGGGTGGATAACAAGTGCTGGACGTGGACCGGGAGAATATCTTGGAGAATATCGCTCTGAAAGAGATCTTGCTGAGGTTATAGAGGTGGGTCACAGGTGAGGCTGCTCTGTGAGATTTTCATTTCGTGCATGTGTATGCGTTTTTCATACTTCCATAGGCTCGCTTAATTCTGCCTTTCTACCTTCTTAGTGATACCTCCTGTTATTAATAAGTCCCTGGTTCCTCGGCGTAGCACCTCTGTGTGTGCATGTTACTCCAAGCAAAAACTTGTGTGGAAAAAGCCCTCGGAAAAACTGCTTCATACTTCTTCCATTGCACCATTAACTTAACCCAAACCACTTCTAACGGGAAGTAAATGTGATTAACCTGATGCACTTTATCCCCCCGAAGAGCCCCGCTCTGACAACTCGATGGTAATATTCAAATGCCCGTCGCTTCCACCCGTTTGGTGTCGGTAGAAACCTCTCGGCACTTAACATTAAGCCATTTTCCAGCTTTTTACCTCTTTCTGGTTCACCCAGGGCTGCACTTAGTGCTTGCGCTCGGGGCACTTTTCATACCTTGGCCGCTGGCAGCCTGGACCTCCTCTGCGAAATGGTCCGTCGCATCCTATTGCTGTAGTTGAGGGTAAATGCAAGCCAGCGGAGTTCACCCCTGTTTAATCTGACTACAAAATTAAATTAATTTCCCCATAGTCAGCTTGTAATACCAAGTAAATGTGTCTCTCTCTTAATTTATCATTACGCTGTCCTGATGAGTCAAATTCTGACTTCTGCTTTAACGTAGTGTAAAAACGTGATTGCGGTTTGACACAACCAGACAGAAATGTGCAGTTGCAAATCAAAAAAAGGAAGTCTAGAGTGGAATCGTGCAGGTGTGCTGGGTTGTACCTGGATGGTAGAATCGTGCAGGTGTGCCGGGTTGTACCTGGATGGTACCTTTCCTTTTCAGGGAATGTAGATGGGAATGCGTATGTCGGAATCCGTTTGGACTGAAACACTAGAGCAAGTTAAGCATTTTCAGCTTTTTTTTTTTTTTAATATTTTCCATGCACGTTTCTATGTGCATCCTGCTCGTCTTGGGCCTTTCGTATGCAGCTAAATGGTAAACGAGGATAGTAATTGTTTCAGAAATGAAATCCGAGGTTTTGTTTAACTAGTACAAAAATAAGTGCTATTTAGAAGGAACTTAGGAATTGGTGCCTGGTACGATGCAGTTGTAAGCAAATACGGCTATTGAAAAGTCAAGGTTTACTTTAAGATGATCTCTAAATGCAGCAACCACAAAATTAAATTTTGGTAACATAGCTTATTTATTCTAAAAAAATACGAGGTGCAAAATAATTAGCAATAACAAGAGTCGTGGGTTTTGCTTGAGTGCAGAAGTCTTGTGTGCAAGTCAACATCCTGACTTGCGGGAGAAATCTCCAAATTTCCACTCCTTCATACGTTTTTTTCCCTTGATAACAGCTGTTCAATAATAATTGAATAGCTGTTAGATATTATACAAGATCTGCTCTAGGTTTTTTTGCTATTTTTAAAAATTTAGTATTTAATTTCCCTGCTGCATCATACCCATCTTTCCTCTAGGTGGTGCCCCATGCCCAAGGGTTGGGTGTAATACTATCCCATATGAAAGGCTATTGAGAAATAGTCAGGACGCCCCTCTCCTTTGTTTCTAAATTCTATCTTATAATAGTTCGTCTGAGTTGATAGATTACTTGTTCTGCATGATGTAAATATGGCGTTTCTTCCTCTTGAGAATCTTAAAATCCATTCACCAGCGCCTAAAATGCCACCTGCCTGGAACAGTATCATCTGTTACTCCGTGGACTGATCCATATCTCATATTTCTTATGGCAGCCATTAACTGGTGTTAGCTGTTGATCGGCCAGACGGTATGTACATCACTGCTGCGACTGTGGGCACTTATTATTTGCATAGTTGCCAAATAAATTAATTCTCTCTGAATATTATGTAAACATTTATCTCTGTCTCTATTTTACATAGAAATGCAAAATTTCAAATATGGATGAAATGCATATGAAAATGAGCGACAGTGATCTGTGTACCTATATGCTCATGGCTCTGTAAGCGGAAGGACCGGGTAAATAATGTCAGTATTCCAGGAAAATACACCGCAGCATCACTGAATCTCGACATTATACCTGAAACTGTCTGTAACCCCGCAAGTTTTATAAGCAGGAAAATTAATATTAGTTGCAAGTGACCAGGTAGTTTTTGTTACCGTTGGCGTTACGATTGCGGTCGGCTCCGTCCCTGTCTGAGGGCCTGATTCTGATCCTGTGTCCCCAGGAGCCCCCCGGTTGGGACCTGTCCCCTGTCCCCAACCTTTCCCAGCTGCCTAACACAGCCCTTCTGGTGCAGATGGCCGCGGCAGCTGCCGGTCTGGGGGGGCCGCGGTGCACAAAGGGGCTTTCACCCCCGAAATACCACCTGATATTTCCCGGTGGGGCTGATTCAGCAACTTCAAATCTTGCTAAATGTTTTCTAAACAATCCTTTGTTGTTCAGTTTGTGTTTTGGGGGGGGGGTTTAGGGCCCGATCCTGCATTTTTTACTTCTCCTGGGAGCCTTGCAGCCTGGGCACACAGTGTCCGACTGCGAATGGGAATTCATCACCTCTCTCCCTCCGTAGCTGGACATGCAAATTTTACTGGAGCTCCCTCAGCTAAGTATATCATTTAAATAGAATTATCTCCCCATGTATCCCATACCCTTTCTCTGTTAAGTTGTGAGGATTTTTACATTTTAATTCTGTTCGTCAGTTTTACCAAAATATTAGCTATTTTTGTGAAGGGGTGCACAGGGTTCACAAGAGTTTTTAAAAGTGCAACTTCTGTTTATTAAAATAAAGAGAAGTTTAAAAATGGTTCGAAGTATTTTTTATGTTTATTGATAACCATAACATGTAAATGTTGTAAATAAGCTCATTAATACTTTGTAAATACAGTCTTATAAAAAATAGAAATTAAATATAAATTACTGGATGAGGTGATGGGTTAGACAAC